ATTTAAATTCTCCAACCTCTGGAGAAATCTAGATTTGAAGATGTCGCGGTTGGATACTATTTCTTTGGTGACTAAACAAAAGTCTTCTCATTGCAAAATCTGTACCTTTGTTATCTTAAAAACAAACAAACAAACAAACAAAACAAAACAAAACAAAACAAAACTGAGTTGTCTAATTTCTGGAGACTTTCTTTTCATGAATCTTCAGGAATATTTCTGACTATTTTCTTGAATTTCTACTTGAAATGTTGTAAATTTAAATATAATAATAATTTATTGGCTTTACTGGAATAATTTGAAGACTGGAAAAAGTAGCACTTGACTAAACGTTCTTTAAAACTATGAATGTGGTTCTTTTGTCCCATGGGAAGACAAAAAAAGACTGCACGTCTCAGGATAGAAGTAGAGTTTTCCCCCCAGTCACACATATATTTTCCCTATGAAGATAAAATAAATCCATCAGTAGTTGCTTAAACAATACCAAATGGTTTTGCATTAGAAAAAATGAGAAATTATCACGCAGCCTTTTCTCCTGGCTTATAAAATGTGACAGTTTATTCCTTAAGTGAGGTTGGCAACAGGCACCTGAGGGTAAAAATAGCTAAGCTGCCACTGCTTTTTTTTCCAGCTTTCATTGCAACTGGAAGCAGAATGCTCCATTAATAAGTTGAAGTTGAAAATTGAAATAGTAAATTATGACATTGCAATATTTGTGAGGGTATGTATTTAGACACATTTTTTTATAGCAAGATAAACAATGATTCTCAATCATAGAATCAGAGACTGGCTTGCATTTGAAAGGACCTTAAAGATCATTTAGTTCCAACCCCCTGCCATAGGCAGGCTTGCTACCCACCAGATCAGGCTCCCAGGGCTCCATTCAACCTGGCCTTGAGTGCGTCCAGGGATAGGGCACCACAGCTTCTCTGGGGAACTCGTTTAAGGTTGCCTTGTTATGGGGTCACTTATCAAACTTGTTCAGGTTTGTTTGGATGGCATCCCTTCCTTCTTTTCTATCAACTGCACCAGTCAGCTTGGTGTCATCAGCAAAGTTGCTGAGGGTGCATTTGATGCCACTGTCTATGTCATTTATAAAGATGTTAAACAGCACTGGATTCCTGAGGGACTCAACTAGTCACAAACCTCTGGCTGGACACAGAGCTATCAACTCTTCAACCAGATTTATTGATGGGAAGAATGACTTCAATGTTAGAGAATAATGTAGAACATTATTTATATGACCAGCTGCAAAGACCACAGATATCTGTGCATTTATAGTGCTGTTTTTTTTACTAATTTTGGAGGAAATCATGTATTTGAATATTGGTTTCTCTCAGTAAACATGCTGTGTTGCAATAGCAAATAGTCAAATTAAGACTATTTTTAAATTAAAATTTATGTTGACATGGAATATACAAGAAACAAAGATATTTATCTATATCATTTAAAAAAAATATTCCATTCTTCCAGGCATACTCTGGTGGTATGCATGTATTAGTGTCAGTTAACACTGAGCCTCACACTGCCTTGAAACTTAGAGGCAAATCCATACAAGAAGCTTTGGGATGGAAAAAGCAGGAGTATTTGCAAAGGGTGCTTTTTCAACCAAAATGTGATGCAAATATAAGATATCAGGTACTACCAAATAATTACAATATGTTATTTTCTCTTTTGGTAGCATTAGATAAATACTGTTATCTGTTCAGCACTTCATTGTCAAAGTAACTTCACACATGGCTTAGTGACCCAGAAATTGAGTAGAAGCATAAAATAAAGATAGCCACAAAGAAGACAAAATTGCTTCAATTTTTATTTGTTAATGATTGAATACTAATACTAAAATTTACCTACTGCTAGAACATCTTTCTAGATGAACCAAAAGACACAGCAAGAAAAAAAATTCTTTCTTCTCACATCCTTGTCTCCTCCAGTGGCCTGTTCATGAAATCTTGGATTGCCTGGTGTAGGGGTAACCATTTATTAATTGAAGCCTTCAGAGCTGTAATCCATCTAGAAGAAAGACCAACAACTATATATACTTGGGTGTAATGAATGCACTTCAACACCCTTTAGAATATTCTGTGAATGGTGTTTGTTCGAATGTGTTACTGCGTATACTGCATGGAGAAGGGTAGAATGGGGAGGAGTTGACTGTACAGCTATCTTAAGTCCAGTTTCCATCATACCCAATAGCTTTGTCCTCTGTTCATTAAATTAGAATCCAAATCCTGCAATTAGAAGGTTTACACAATCAGAACTCCCACAGACAGTCATGGAATTTGACTGAATTGCTATGACAGGATTCACCTTCGGAACATGATTTCGTAGGTTAATTTTCATTTTTACTACTAATGATCATTGTTGGAAGTAAACCACCCTTGGGAATGTTGGGAATGAGGAAGATATACATTCTTCTAGCTTGGGCTCCTCTAATGAGAAAGTACCATAGGTTTTCTGTTCAGTGTAATAATGTTCTGTGAAAGGCATCATATCCTGATTCCCTTCTGAAACTCTGCAATCCATAGTTGCTGCAGTTCCAGCACTGACAGTAACAGAATTGATGACTCACATGGTCCAACGTTGTGCTACAGTGTGACTAAAGCTAGAATTGAAAGGGAGTCTAGAGAAACAAGTGAAAACAGAACGAAAAGCTGTCACCAGATCTTCCCCAAGCTATAGTGTTTCCAATTTTCTTAACTCTGGCAAATAAAATAGAAACAAGAATCTTGGTTTACCTTTTGTTTTCATTTACATTTTCGGCACATAAGTAGAAAGTTTTAAATTCTTCAGATGGAGGTTTGAGTTCAATTACTGATCTCTTGGATCCCAGAGACTGTTCGCTCACAATATATCCCTGAAGGTAGAGGCCACCTTGATGGAAAAAAATTAGTATGCATCATGTATATTGAATATACTATTTAGGAAATGATTTCTTGCTAGCAGCATAGTGAAATTTTTTGAAAAAACAATTTCCATATGACTTGTATTGAGCTTTTCCACAGTTATGCAGAATTTTCATACAGAATATTAAAATTACAAAATATCAGTTTTCTTCTGAAAATTAATATGAACAGAGCTCCTTACTTGCTCTTTCTACAGGATTTCAGATTTCTTTTTCCTTTTCCTCTCAGCTAATTAGTGCAGAACTCAGTGGGAGTTCTACCAGGTCAGCTTTCATTGCTGCCTCTTCACTGCATCAGGAAAGAACTACACTTCTTTGGATGAAAAGCAGTGTACAGGAGGTAAACATTTTTATTGTTACAGATTGAATTTTCCCTCAGGCTCCCAGGTGTTTTGGCACTAATGTGTCCAGTTACTGGAACTTTCTACTCTATTGCATTATGAAAGGTCACTCTGACTTGACAGATAAAGGGAATACAAAGGCATAATAAGCTGTGAATAGTAAGTGTGAATATGATTACACAAAGTGTAGGATTAGTTCAGTGATAAAAAAAACCTAATATGATGAATAGACATACTCGAAACTATACTAAAATTAAACCATATCAAAAGGTAGATCTGAAAAGAAGTATGGATTTGATATTTGAGAATAGATTTGTGCTGTGGTTAGTTTCTTGTACTAAACTCTTGTCTTGAAAACTTTATGAACAACCAAGATTCAGGGGTTCATTTTCAGTCAATTAATCCTGGTGGCTGCTTCAAGTTAAACTTGCAAATTTTGTTTTATCTGTCTGGTGTGTTTTTTTGTTTTTGTTTTTCCTTAAAAACTAATGGGATATGAATTTGAAAATTAACAAAAAAAAAAAATGCTGGAACCAGCATTCGCTCTTCTTACTTGACATGCTGCCATCAGTAATTGGAACTCCATTGCAGCCAGTTAGCTCTAAAGAAAGGAATTACACAGCATTTGCTCTTCATAATATTTTAGTTTCATTTGCTCTTTTGTTTTTACAGGGTCACTATAATGCCATAAATACAAAATACTGCATTTTCTTTTCCTTTCTGCTAATTCATTGCTTAACTTTGGGCAAGTCTTAGGTTCAGTTTACTGTGGAACTCACTGGCCATTTCACACAGGCCTTTTACAAGGTGAAAAAAGTTTTCTCTCTCAATCTGAAAGCTGGCTAGTAAGCAAAAGTATAACATTTCCTTTCTGATTCTTCTGGCTGCCAGTTTCCCTAGGATAAGGAATCAACCCTTCTTCCTTAAGCTCCTCTTTTTTTTTTTTTTTTTTTTTTTTTTTTTTTTTTTTTAATACAAAGTCCCAGGAATTTGTCCTGAGTGCCTGAAATTCAGCTTCCCTACCTCGAAGTCATTTGTGAGGGGTGCCTGGAAACACCACCTTGCAGCCTTCATGAAGTGGCCACTTTCCTATTTTGTTACAAGGAGAACTGCTACACAGCATCATGGATTTTTTAGCCTAGATGAAGGCACCTGGCCAGACCCTGCAGAACTCACCTCTGCTGCACTAAGCGAGTTTGGCCTGCTGCTGTTCTGCCTTTGCCAAGGCTGTATGAAAGCCCAGTAATGGTGGAGAAACCAACTAGAGTTTATGATGTCCCTCCCTTTTAGGCTAGTATCACAGAGTACTCTGACAGCTTTCAACAGACTTTCAGCCACCAATGGCAAGGAATCAAGCCTCTAGGAAGTGCTTTAGGAAGGTGATGTCTCTTGCTGATATGTTCTTCTGAACATCTTTATCAGCTGTGTTCCAGAAACAAAAATGCAGGCCACTGGACATTTAAATAATAATAATAATAATATGGGGAGAATGAGGAGTATATTTTATGAAAAGAAATTGAGTTTATTCTTCGTATGTTCACCTTCACAGAACACTGAGAATTTGCCAGTAAAAGAATTTCATTAGTGGTCAAAGTTCTATTTGGAAACTGCAATTAATTGTTTAATTAATAACTGTTTGCAATCCCTCAGCCAGCTCTACCTTGGGCAGGTGTGGAGCGGAGAGTGGCATAGAAGTACAAGCAGCCATCCTTCAGAATGCAATAGTGTTGAATCCAGGCATCTTTGCTTCTGTCCAGCTGGTGGAGGAGCCCCAGGCACTCTGGGTTTTTGATGGCTAAGGGTGGCAATGCAGTATTATGCAGCGTGACATCTACCCACACGTGGTTCTGCAAGGTAAGCATGAAATGAGCAGTTATGTTAAGAAATTAAAGATGGCCTGCTGGTATGAAATGACACTGTCTCTAGTCATGTGCAGACTTTGGTTGTGAAAACAGTTTGTGAGGTCAATTTGGAAACGCAATTGAAAAACTTGTATTTGATGTAAAAAAAAAAAAAAGGTCAACTTGTACAATCATAACTTGCATTTTCTGCAACTCTTTTGTTTTCCAAAATAGATTTTTGTCAGTAGAAACAGACTGTGCTGTTTAAACTGACAATTCAGCACCATACCATTGTTCATTCACTCCTTCCCCTCACAGTGGGATGGGGGGCAGAATTAGTGGGTTGAGAAAAAACTATTTACTAAGAGAAAAGGAAGTGGAAAAAAAGACAGTAGTATTAGTAGTTAGTAGACATAGAAAACCATTTTTATTTATAAGTACATACAAAACAAGTGATGCACAAGCAATTACTTACCACTTACCAAAAATGCCCAGCCTGTTCCCGAGCAGCAACTGTCCACCTGGCCAACTCCCCACTGTTTTTCAAGCTTTCCCTTTAACCAGTGTGGGTCAGCTGTCCTAGTTCTGTCCCTTCCCAACTCCTTGTGCCTATACAGTTCCCCTCACTGGCAGAACAGTATGAGAAGCTGAGAAACTGAAATGTCCTTGGGTCTGTACAGAACTGCTCAACAACTGTGTTGACAATCACTGTATTGTCAACATTGTTTTTTCCCAAAAGCCAAAACATAGCAAGATATACTGATGAAAAACACAGTAACACAGAAAGGAGCCAACTGACTGTGTTATTAATGGGGGAATGCATGAATATTTTTATGAATATCAAGTTTGATTCTCTTTTTCTCACAAATTATTTTTACTTGTTACACTGAAGAATGACATTTGTTGCATTTTCTTTAGTATATGCGTACTCTTCTCCTCACTTTTGGGTGAAGCCATGTATTGTTTCTGTTGGGTTGGGTACATTGTGTTGTGAACATTTTAATGGCATGATTTATTTGGCTGTTTAAATTCTTTAGATCCTTTGTATTCTTTTAAGAAGCACTACTGGGTAGAATATACTTAGACACAAATTTGTATCTCAACTAGAAAACGAAGTCAAAAGAAATGCATCTTTGATTGATTTTATTTTAGAGACACAAGGATTAAAGATAAAGGCTTCCTTTCACTGTCTGGAAAGCAACCACTATAACATACTGCTGAAAGGTCACGCCTATGCCTTAGGTTAAGAGGAAAAATGAAATAAATATTTTAAAATACTTTTATTTCTGCACTGTTTTAAGGCAGTTTAGCATTTATAACATCACTTAATTGTGTTGAAGCCTTTATTTCATTTGCAAAAAAAAAAAAAAAAAAAAAAAAAAAAAAAAAAAAGAGGCTTTGGTATTTATCCTAGGTTTCAGCCTCAGTTTATTTTTGCTAAAAATCCAAACTGGTTCAGTAGCTACACTCACTTAAAAGTGATTTTACAAATCAACAGCACATTTTTATAAAAAGGGTGGAATCAAGGAGCCAGGAAACGAGAAGCTTTAACTCCTATGCTTTTAACACTGGAATTACCAGAACTGGCTTTGCAGCTCCCGATCTGGGGCCAGTCAGGGATTATTTGTACTAAATTATATCGGACAGCACAAGATTTCCCTTTTGTAGCTCAAGATCACTTATAGCTATGTTTCTCCCAGCCACAGAAGCCAGCATTGAGCAGAGCTAAAGAGATGGAGAGAGAAATTCAAATCCATCAGCTATCTCATCTCTCTTCATCTCTTAAAATACAGAAAAGTCAAAAACACAGCAACTCTCTATCTAATAGTCTGTTGGAAGTGACAGTAGGTAGTCTCAAAAAAACTAGCAATCAAGGCAGGCTTACAGAGAATATCTAAGAAGATAAAGCCCTTCTCTCCTTTTATTCTAAATAGTGTTACATTGGGCAGAACATGCCATAGTGAGAGTCTTCTCAACTGTGCTCATTCTTCTTCCTATCTTCCCACTAGTCTCATTTTACGTTATATTTCTGTATGAGCTTAAAACTGCTGATATCTGGAGAGGGAACTTTTTGATTCATAGCACCATATGGCAGCAAAACATATTTGCTGAAACAAAATAATGTGTGTATATGGCTTTCAGACTGGAGCTGATTCACAACTCAGCTGCCTTGAACAAATGTTTGCAGCTTCCATGTTGTTACCTGCACTGGGCCATGCACAAAGTATCTATGGTCTCTCAGTCTTCTGCACAATGTACTATAATGTACTTCTCACATAAATAAAGCATTACCTGATGGACAGGATGCACTGCTTTTTCCATAGCCTCCAGCCACCTATAAAATGACCAATGATGAGAATATGTTAGTTTTGTAGAGCAGAATAAGTGTGCAACACCACTTCTTTTAATTCTTGCTGCTATAGGCAGCTTTCGAAGGGATGTGCAATTTTCAGGATGCATTCAGGGCTTCAGTATAGAACACTAGTCTAAATAAATACTTCTAACTTGCAGAACGATTATTTTTAGCTTGCTGTACAACACCATAATAAATTAGAGTAATACTTACTATAGGATGAAGCTAAACATTTTGTACATAATTCACCGTGTCAAGCTAAATGATCACTCTTCTGTCGATTTATAAGGTAGATAATGAACTTGCAGAAAATGTAAAACATCCTGAAACTGGAGATTACCAAATAAAGCATGAAGTTTTTTGGCAATGTTATTCTTTTTGTGCCATGAATGGTATAAAATAGAAAGTGAAAAATACTGTAATATGACAGCAGTGGATATCTAAAATACTAAGATACTATAAAAACATGGTTGGAGAAGTCAACATTAGAAAATGCCATCCTACTTCATAGCTTTAGGTTTCAAATAATGCACACTAAAACAAAAAGGGGAAAAAGGATTAGGTTTCTCTATATTTTCAAACTAAGGCCTGAAAGTAATTACTTTTTAGTCTTCTGAGTGATTTAGTCTCTTTGTCTGCTATAGTATTTGGGAAATGCAGAAACAACATTTTTTGGATTCTGAAAAAAGCCCAAACTCATTAACTCATTACATCTTATCTCATCCAACATGTTTTCATGGCATATTTAGAATTTAAAATGAAAACATAATGATGTGACAGAATGACAGAAAGGGAAATGGAAGAGGGGATTGTGTTTGTGACTTGCATTGTCCTTGTTGGACAGAGGAGAGATCAGTGGTGAGAAATGAACAATAAGAATGTTTACATCCACAGGAAGATTTAAGTTTCCATTTGCAATGGTGGAGAAGGTATGAGAATATGTGTAACTTTTTTTTCTGGAGATAGCTGAAATAATGTGAATTCAGGGAGATCTTGAGGAGAACATGAATGTTGAAAACTTGTAGAAAAAACTACCTTCTCATAATAACAAAAAGGTAAATTCTGAAAATGAAAAGTATCCTTGAAAATTATGCAAATAAAAACCAGAAAAGCAGAAACACCAATCTTCCTATAAATATCTTCTTTTTTTTCCTTTTTTTTTCCTTATTGATCAAGGAAAGTCTTGTAAACATTCTCCAAACGTCCAGTTGTTCTCTCTTCACATCAGAATAACAAAACTGACTCTGTAAAATGAAAGATTGCTTACCTCTTCATTTCTTGGTTAGAAGTTGCACAGAAGTAGAAAATCCTGTTTCCACTTTGAGGTATGCACTTAAAAACAAAGGGTTTACCCAGACTCGTGTCAACACCAATTTCTGCTCCTTCCAACTTTGTTACTTCCAAGGGTCTGCACTTCCCTTCATCCTGTAATCCAAGAGAAGAAAATGCTGTGCCAAAGTTCAAAGCAGAGACGGAATCAACTCAGGGAACATTCAAAGGTGTAGAAGTTTGTGACAGGCTTTTTTGCCTTTCAAGCTATCCCAATCATCATTTGCTTTAATAATCAGTAGCCTCTGTTTGTTTATTTATTTATTTATGCTTTATCAGTTCTCATATCTGTACAGAAACCTCATTAGCTGTAAATATTCCAACTTTTGAGCATGGATTTTTCAAATGTACTGAACCGTTTAGGAACATCGTAGAGTCATCATCATAGAATCCTAGAATGCCTTGGATTGGAAGTGACCTCACAGATCATCAGTTTCCAGTCACCCTCCACAGGCAGGATTGACAGCCTCTAGATCAAGTATTAGATCACATTGATCAGGGCCCTATGCAAGCTGGCCTTCAACACCTCGAAGGACAGTGAACCATGACCTCTTTGGGCAACCTGTTTCAGCACCTCATCACTCAGTAAAAAACTTTCCCCAGCATCCAATCTAAATCTCCTCTCCTTTAGTTTAGGACCATTCCCTCTTGTATTATCACTATCTACTTGTGTGAAAAGTTGATTTCCCTCATGTTCATATGCTCCCTTTAAAAATTGGAAGACACAATGATGTCTCCCCACAGCCTTCTCTTTTTCTGGCTGACAAAGTCCAGTTCCTTCAACCTCCTTCACAGAGAGGTGTTCCAGTTCTTGGATCATCTTCATGGCCCTCCTCCAGATCCTCTCTAAAATCTCCACCTTTATCTTGTGCTGGGGGCCCCAGACTTGGATGCAGTACTCCAGATAGGCCTCATGAGGCCAGAATAGAGGGGGATAGTCAATCACCCCTCTCACCCTATTGGGTCCCAGGATGCCATTAGCCTGGACTATTGAAAACCTGGAAAACATGAGGCTATTCACAAAAAAGTGCTACTTGCAGTTTGGGTTTATACTGAAAACCTCACTTATATATACAAACAGAAGGAACAAAGACTTACATTCAGAAAATGTTATTTTAAAAGTCTGGATTTCAGTTCCTTTGTAAATTTGCCCTAAATATAGAACTACAGAATCATAGAACCACCAAGGTTGGAAAAGACCTCCAAGATCATCCAGTCCAGTTTTCCACCTATCACCATTATTTCCCACTAAACCATGTCCCTAAGTACAACATGTAAAAGTTTCTTTAATGCTTCCAGGGACAGTGACTCTACCGCCTCCCTGGGCAGCCAGTTCCAGCATTTGAACTCTCTCTTGGAGAAGACGTATTTCCTAATGTCCAATCTGAATCTCACCTGGCACAACTTGAGGCCATTCCTTCTAGTCCTATTGACAGCTATATCAAAGAAGAGGGTGAAACCCACATCAACAAAACCTCACCTTAGGTAGTTGTAGAGAGCTATAAGATCTCCCCTGAGCTTCCTCTTCTCCAGACTGAACAATCCCAGCCTCTCCTCATAAGACCTGTGCTTCAGACCCCTCACCAGCTTTACTGCCCTTCTCTGGACACACTCTAAGGCCTCAATGTCTTTCTTGTAGTGAGGGGCCAAAACTGAGCACAGTACTTGAGATGAGGCCTCAACAGTGCTGATTACATAGAGATGGCCACTTCCCTGCTCCTGGTGGCAACACTACTTCTGATACAATCCAGAATGCCATTGGCCTTCTTGGCCTCTTGGGCTGTGGTGGTCTGTTTCCTCTCCACAGTCTTCCAGTCACTCTACCCCAAGTCTGCAGCATTGCCTAGAGTTGCCGTGGCAAAGGTGCAGGACCAAGTACTTGGTCTTGCTGAACTTCATCCCACTGGCCTCAGCCTATCAATCCAGCCTGTCCAGATTGCTCTAAAGGGCCTTCCTACTGCAGCCAGATCCACACTTTCTCCCTGGTTGCTGTCTGCAAACTCACTGAGGGTGCACTCAGTACCCTTATCCAGGTGATCAATAAGGGTATTGCACAGGACAGGATTCAATACCGTACCCTGGGGAGTACCACTTGTGACCAATCGATAGCTGGATTTTACTCCACTCACCACCACTCTCTGGACCTGGCCATACAGCCAGTTTCTTCTCCAGGAAACTGCTGGAAACAGTGTCGAAAACTTTGCTGAAGTCTAGGCAGACTATGTCAACAGATTTTCCCTCATCCACCAGGTGGTCACTTGATCATAGGGGATCAGGCTGGTCAAGCAGTACCTGCCTTTCATGAACTAGCTGGGCCTGATCCCCTGGTTCTCCTGCCCATGCCATGTGATCTCCCTCGAGATCATCTGCTCCGTAACGTTACCTGGCACCAAAGTAAGTTTATATCAGTATATTCATAACCATTCATAACCATTTCAGACAACTTTCATTGGAAAACTTGTCAGAATATTTTGTACAGTATTGTTGTGGATTGATTCAGAGCTCTCAGAGACCGAAGATTATTCCTAGTCCTTCCTGTGGTTAATTATAAGAAGTCCTTTAGCTCCTTAATGCAAGTGGGTAGGTAAAACAGTTTGTTCTCCCACTCTCCCAACACAACTCTCATCAAGTACATCATAACTAAAGGCAGAGGTGCACACATTTGGACAGTGAATTCTGGCTGTGTTTTAAACAATATTCTTAACCTGCTTGATTTCCACAGCCATGACTACTGCTCTTACAGTCACATTTAGTTACTAGTGTTAGGACATACGAAGACTAGTAGAGCTCTTTCTAGAAAACACAGATGGATTCTAAACCTATGCAAATCAACTGTTCATTTGGAATAAATTTAATGTTGTCCATAGGAGATGAATAACAAATGCACCATCTAATCTTTTTTATTAGCTTCAAAATAAACATGCATATATTTCCAAAAAAACACACAAGTCAGCCACCTATTAGATTTTTACATGCTTATTTGTATTTTCATTGGTAAATGTAATTATTCCTTTGTTCTTAAAATATTCTGTAGGAACAAAATAACCCCTAGTACTGAAAAACTGTAAATAAACTTTCATGGACATATTTCTTAGATTCTTCTGCTTTCTTCCTTTTTTTCTTTTTTAAAATGAAAAGCTAAAGTTAATACAATAGATGAAGATGATCCAGAAAGTCATCAGTGCTGTGTGACCTACTTCTCTTACAATATCTTCACACACAAAATCACACTGCAAAGACAGCATAAGCAAAATACATACTCAGACTGTCCTAGCTTGTGGACAGAAGGCAAAGGTACTGTAGATGCTGAAAAGGCTGTGTAACTGCTGTAATTACACATCCCTAGAAACTACTTTTCTAAATACTTTCTACGCTGTCTAGAATTAATACAACTAGATCCTGTCATATCAAGAATGATTAATGCCCACTATTTTCCAAAGTAACCATCTGGAAAAAAATTAAGAAGGATCTGAAACATTCATTGCAAAGAGGACAAAATGTCCTTAGTTGACTGAAAGGCAAACTCTCACCTCTAATTTGGAAATGCCAGAAGTAAAGGGCATTTCTTTTCACTGCTGTGTCTTTCATGAACTATATGTTGTGCATTCCTATGGCAACACTCCCATTGTTACAAGAAGTGCCAGAGCTATACAGCTGAAAAAACATCATAAAAGTTATTTGGTATTACTGTGACTGTAATGTAACCTACTAATGATACTACCTCTTGGGAACTTAATATAAGTACAAGAAGCTTTCAGAATTGCTGGTATTTGCTGTAAAGATTTGAAATGAACTAGCTCAAATTGTAGCTACTACAACACTGTTTTGCACTTAAGAAAACAGATTTTTTGTTCTCTCAAGCTTGCTATGAGCTATTTCATAGATACTTGGCAGTTCACAAGACCTGACATGGATGGAGTCATTTGGGTATAGGGTAGAAAGAAAATGCTATGTTGATAAATACTAGTCTAAGAGTAACAGAAACACCTGAACTAACTCTTCCCTTGCAGCTAGCATTTCTTCAGGAGGTCTGAGTTTTAGGGTTTTTTTTTCCTGAAAAAAAAAAAAAAGATTAATATACATGAGGCTGAACTAAAGGAGACATAATATGAAAATAGACATCTCCTTACTTTAAAGTATGAAAAGGTCATAAAGGAGTATGTAGATTGAGATGTGTGGGAGGGTGGTCACAGATTTAGTGTAAATACTTCCAGAAAGTAAATGACATTCATAGCATTTGCCAGATAATTCACTGCAACTGAAGGATTTTGTTTGAGCAGAGTCATATTTACTATTCTAGTTAAGCTGCTTTGTCTAATAGAAAGGGAAAACTGAAAAGATATGAAGACTTCATGCTATTTGCAGTGGAATAAATAAAAATCAACAGGAATAACTAGGAAAAGAGATTAAAATTAAGCTTAATGGTACTGCAAGTGCTAGTAAAATAGAATAGAAATAATTGTACAGAAAACAAGAGCAAGTCCTAAAAAAAAATATAACAAATTTAAAATATAAACTTAAAATGAACGCTGTCAGAAAGCAGAAATGGAAGATTGGATAGCCCAGGAGATTGTCAGTGGAATATGCAAGGCAGTCACTCTCAGCTCACTGGCTCAAACTGGACAGTAATGACTTGAGAATTCTTTTAGTGTCTGAACATCTTTTCTTAAAGATGACATATCTGCCAATGAGATGGGAAAACGACCTATTCTCCTTTTGCTTATTTCCCATTTGCCCAACTTTCTTCATCAAAGCTGACATGGTTACAACCCTCCCTGGCACTCAGGCTTACAGTCTGAGGCGACTATTATTTTCTGTTTTTCCCTGCCCAGCCTCTTCTTTACTCACAGTATTGCTTACTTAGCAGTGTCTCTAAAATCTTGCCCCTCCCAATCTCTTTTTTCTAATCAGTATTCTTTAAGGTAAGCTTATTTTTCCAGATATTTGTTAAATTACTGCTAGAGTCTGTCTGCGTTTCTTCTTTGAGCTGAGCACATGGGATAA